GTGTCATGGAGTTATCTAGATCAATCTATGCCTGTGGCAGGGGGACAGTAGGCTCGTGGCCCCCTGTCCCCAAAAAGTGGAAAGGGAAAAAGAGAAGGGTAGGGAGATGGGAGATGGGCTCAAAAAAACAAACAAACAAACAAAAAACAGCAGCAATGATCTAAGGAGAAAAACTTATTTTACTAACTATGATATTGGAATACAAGATAACACAGTATAATACAATCTAATTGAAATTGAGGCTAATAAATCAAATAAGAGAGCTTTCTGAAATTGAAAAGCCTGCTTTGAACTGATGGCGCAAAGCTTGAAGCACACACACACCTTCTGCCAGGCAGTGAGCGAGAGAGAGCAAGATCCCATGTCCCATGACTTCCTTCCTCCCATGACTTATCTTCCTCTCTGACCCTGAGGTCCCCTGGGATATGTAGTCCTTGTCTTCTGAGAGCCAGGGATCCAGAAAGTTTTCAGACCGTGGAACTGGAGTATTAACTCTTTAACTACCTGTGCTTTACGTGGTGTTATGATGTGGAATACCGACAGCGAAAAGTTACAAAGCCATGACAAAAGGAAATACAGCTGCCTATCCTGAAAATGATAGTTCAAGACAAAGCATTTGTGAATATAAGTAGGGAAGTTTTATATGATTTTGTCACCTTAAAATGGATCAATCTTTGCAAACCGTGACCTGTGAAAATTCCACAGCAAACACTGGGAGTGGAGATGGGGGCGAAATTCTTATGACCAGGGAACTGAGATACCAAAAGCAAATTATTTCTGGGAAGAATAGCCACTGAACAGAAGGGTATGCTGTTTTATGTAGGTAAGATTGAGTGTAAAGCAACCAAATACCTCCTTATTTAATAGGGAGACAAAAAATATCTTATTCACCCATTGGATCTCCATGTTTGAAAGCTACATCCTTTATTCAAAGACAGTGTTTAGTCTTTTACAGTTTTCTGATTGCATTTATCTACTGTTGCAGGTTGTCATAAAAAGTTAGTGATTTTTATTATTATTTTTTTTTTTTAAATCCCTGAAAAAGGTGGAAGCTATTTTGGGAGATTTCTTATAGTTTTAAATTGCATGTGAATTCTCGTATGTAAAACCCCTGACTAGCTGTGCCTGGTAATGGCTCTTTCTTTCACCTGAAGTCCTGCTACTCTCAAGTTCTCCATCTCCTACACACTTGAGGCATAGTTCTCATCTCAATTTATTGTCACTGAAAGCAATACAAGTGGCATCAGGCCTTCAGTCCACGGAACTGAAAGCTTTTCATATCAAATACACCATTATCCAAGCAATGAGCTCTAGGAGTTAGGTCTCCGGGGAAGAATGGGAAAGAAAAATACAGTTCTTGTTTCACTTTTTAGCTGAAAATCTAGCCTATAAAACTGTTATTCACACATAATGGATGATACTAGGAATGGAAGTACTTAATTTCCAAATCTGCTTGTGCCACAGGACAGGACAGAAAATAATAATAAATAAAATCATAAAAAGATAAAAGAAAGCTGGCAGCATTTTTAAGAAATAGTCCTTAGAAGAAGCTGAGAGTAGTCCTCTACCTGTAAATGAGCATATCCAGCCAGGTTGGTAGTTAACAACATTGGCACTAATAACCTCTGGCAACATGGAGGCATGCGTATGCCAGTTAGGATTCCTGCAATCATTACTGCAGAAAGAAGGAATAAGTACTGGAATTTGCACTGATGGGGGAAATGGGAGTAATAAAAGTTTTTGAGAGTAAGAAGATAAAGTTTATGGGCCTGAAAAAGTGGCAGGTTTTGAACTAAAGGTAAGCTTTTCTTCCAAATGAACTGCATCTCAAGCACAGAACTATGTAGAAATGGAAAGGAAAATGTACTTTTTCTCAGCAGTTTGAATATAACTGACCATTTTAAGGCAGAAACCACTGGAAAATTAGCTGGTGATCAGCCATGGTAAAACTGAAATAAGAAGTTGTATAAAATTTTCCAGTGGCATTTTTTGGGACCTAATCCATTGGCTTTCTACAGTACCCATCCTTAATAATGTTCCTATCATACTGGAAACATCACCCAAAAGAGTGCATTGGAAAAAGTATTCTGTAGGTACACTGAAATTAAACAGAAGACAGCCACTAGGAACAGAGTCAGTCAGCTCACAGTTTTTCAGAGGAATTATGCAATAATCATCTGTTCCCCTGAGCAAAATGAAACTTCCGTACTGTGACATAGTTGTTCAGGTTAGTAAAAATCAAAAATGATTCAGGCACACTGTAAAGGTACCTTATGAAATTGAGCAGTTGAGAAACAGAATAAAATTAAATGTTGATAAATGTAAAGCAGTGTTGAAGAGGAAAAGAATCTTAATGTGCAATAATATGCTCTGAATGAGATTAAACACTCAGGTAAGAGATACTGGTGTTGTACTAGTCCTATGACAAAATCGGTAAAGAATTTTGAGTACTAGGAAATATTGATAAATAACTGAAGGTCAAAACAGAAGACATCATTCTACTATTATATAAATGAACTTACATTTTTTAACATTATCTGCACTAATAGTGTTCAAATCAACTCTCAAATGTTACGGATATGTCAGAAAAGGCATTGAGCAAAGTTGAAGGAAGATCCAGGGACTGTAATGGTACCTTTTGAAGAAGAAATTGAATACATAATGTTGTTGAAGCTGCATTTCCCCACAGTGGAAGTGATATAAATACAGATAGAATGTTTTATTATGATAAATGCCATGGGAGATATTAATACGGACCTGTTTCTAATAAATAACACTTACATGCTGGGTCAACAAATGAAATTATCAGGTGAGAGTCAGGAAACAAAATAATATATCTTTTAAATGTAGCACATACATTTTTTTGTGTGATGATACTATGATGATACATTTGAAAAAAAAAATAAGGGAAGAAATGAGTCCTTAAAATTGTAGTAGTGAAAAGATATCTTCTCCAGTTCAATAAACCCTTGAATCACAGACTCAGGAAAGCTGGGAATAACAAAATATTTGCTACACTTCAATCTTCTCATACAGGCAGATACTACTTTTGCTAGACAGAGAATGAAAATTTGGCTGCTTGATTTGACTCAGAGCTCCATTCTTATGATTTCATGCCCTTCATACTCTCTCATGCCCTATTGTACTGAGAAAAGGAAGAAAAAAATAAACAAGATTTGCAGATATATTTCCAGGGCTTCCACCAACATAGAGGCTAGTATTACAAACTGTCTGGAATAAGAGAAACAATGGTTCAGGTTTACCAGCGCAACTCTGGGCTTTCAATCATAAACTATGATCAGGCTATGATATATTCTGTATAAAGTGTGTGTATACATGTGTGTGTGTATACAACCAGAGGTATCTTTCATATAGCTATGCCATAAACAGATGTTTTCCAAGTCACTTTCCAAGTGTTCTGCATAATATAATGATCACCTTGATGTGAGCAACACTTGAAGCCTCACTGAAAAGAAAGATGATTAATATCTTCACTTCTAGAAAAAAATAATTCAGACTCATTTGAGAGAGATGTGTGAAATCCTCTGAAGTTATTCTTATTCCTGGCTAAATACTATACATTGAGCCTTTCAAACTTTGCATATAATAACTATAACAGATTATTTTCTATTGATTTCACACTCATGATTTGGAATATCATTTAGAGTGCAGCCTTTGAAAGAAGCAGATTGGGGATCCACAACTTCTCTGGACAGCCTGTTTCAGTGCCTCTTCACCCACTGAAATCTCACCTATCTCTACTCTCTCTTAGTTTAAAATCATTCCCCCTTGTCCCATCACTATTAAACCCCGTAAGAAGACAGTCTTGCTTCTATCTGTAAGCTCCCTTTAAGCATCAGAAAGATGCACTGAAGTCTCCCCTTAGTTTCCAAGTTAAACAAGGTCAACTCCCTCAATCTTTCTCAAAGGAGAGGTTCTCCAGCCCTTTGATCATCTTTGTGGCCCTCCTCTGATCCAATAAAACAGCATCTTTCCTGTGCTAGGGGGCCCAGGACCAGGTGCCATAATCCAGATGGGGCCTCATTAGGGCAGAGCAGAAGGGGAGAATCACTTCTCTCTCCCTGCTGTTCATGACTTTTAATGCAGCACAGGGTGCAGATGGAATCCACATTATCTGATTTTTTTCCATCTTTCACACTCTCTACACCTTCTGAAAATTTATTTCAGTTTATCTGAAAGTTTATCTTGAACTGTATTTCTCAAAATTTCAACAGGAAGCAAAAGCAGTACAGGCCTAAATATTCAGTATAAAGGATTTGATATATCCAGTGATCTCAGCAAAGGGCACTTAGTTAGAATGTGCAGACTTCATTTTTTTTTTTTATGACTGTGATAAAGAACCGTTCTCTCTTCTTAAAGTTCACCTGCAGCATGCCTGAAAACTACTCCCTCGCATGCCTTGCAGTATAAGCATATATACCCAGGAAGAGTAGAAAAGATCAGAGGAAATGTAGAGATCCAAGTATCTTTCAGATATCTTGGCCCACACAGCCTGTATTTTGCGTAACAGCAATAAGGAAAATTGCCTTCTCCCAATATTCTTCACTTACAAGTCTCATTATCAGAAAAGCACATAAGACAAAAGACCAAACAGGGTACAAAAGAAAGACAATATGCCATTAATTTATTTTATTTTTTATAGAATTACTTAACTAAAGGATTAGGGAGATGGGAGCAGGACACAAATCTTAAAATTAAATGAAGACTCTTACAGATAAGAACGCTTATTTTGCTTTTAACATCTTCATGATGACTATTAGAAGGATTTTGTCCTCAATCCGAACCTGACTCACTTCTTAAACTTAATATGTATATGAGAACTGCTGAACCTCTGATTGATCACCTGAGGTGAGCAATCAGTCAGCCCTGTGAGCACAGGTGAAGGCAATTCACCTGTGCTGCTGGAAGCGGTGGAGCCTGGCTGCACCTCTCCTAGACCCATTTAAGAGCTGGCTACCAGGGGGGAAGGATCTCTTTTGGAGACCTCTCCTTTTGGAGTTTCACAGTAAGCCCAGGACAAGGGTAAGACCTTTATCTTTTCCTTTTGGTGTGATAACCTGCTTAGCCAGACTCTCTCATGTATTTCTTAATTATAACACCTGTACATTCATTGGCCATTCAGTATGTAATTAGTCCATTATATTAAACTGATCAAAATTACTTTCATCTGTGCAACATATGCTTTTGCAAGAAGATTATATCAACTGAGGAATGGCAAGCCTCGTGTTATCAGCTGAAGTTTAAGGGACTGCAAAATATGCAATTACAAGAACACTCGATGTGCAATCATACCAGATTGCATAGCTCCCAAATTCATTGCTAAGAAATGAGATAATACAGTCTGAAACATGTAAACATGTGTTAGGCCACGACCAACACTGGGATATGCACTTTACCATTCAAATTTTACACAGTATTTTCTAGAGAGCTTGTAAAAATAAAGGTTAAAAACCATGAAACTGAAGAGCTGACCTTTTAGTGTTTATTTTTTTCTCAAAGGCTTAAAAGATTCCTTGTATGAAAATAATTCTATCTCACATTCATCACAGTTGTCATGGTTTTATGATTTTTGGTCATCAGTATTCCACACCATAACATCATGTAATGCACTGGGGGTGGGGTTTGATATCTGCCGAATGTTCGTCCGTCGGAGAAGAACTACATTTCCCCAGGAGGCTTTGCGGTCAGCAAGGGGATATAACTCCAAGCAAGGTCACCTGAGCTCTTCTTCTTCACCTGCTCTTCGCTGTCTGCGCTTCGCCGCCTGCGTTTCGCCATCTGCACTTCGCCGTCTGTACTTCAGTCACTCAACTGGACTGCACTTCTCACCCCAGCATTGTGGTGAGGTCTATACAATTCAAACAGACTCTCTCTGTCTCTCTCTCTCTCTCTCTTTGTAGTTTACTAATACTATATTTAGTAAAATCATTTGTTCCACCTCAGACCAGTGCTGTTGTTTTTCAAGTATTTTGGGGTCCCCTGCTTCCCCTTTCCCAGAGGCGCGGATCCGCAGATCCCTCCGCCCTGCTGGTCACGGAACTGGGCCGGACCAGCCCATAAACCGTTGACAACAGTACAAGTCTTCATGTTGCCACATTTATCCTTGGTAAGGAACAAGACTGTACGTAATTTCTCCTGCTGTCAGTAAGTACAGATCCCAGTCTACTATGAGCATATTTAAAATCACTTATCTACAACCTGAAGCTGATGCAGGAGTGTATTTAGTAGTCAATATTCCAGCTAACTTTTCCTGAGCACATCCTTTGAACAAGTGGAACCTTGTTCCATTGCCTAATTGAAGTACTCGAAGTTCTGTTCCCCACATTTCACTTTAGCTCTGGGCTTAAAAACCGCCTACAGGCCTCTCTCTTATAAATTATAAGGCAGGGCAACAGGAAAATGGCAAATGAAACTAAGAAGAGATTGCAGATCTTATATTAAGCAGTGCTAAACTCCCACAAGCCTTCACACAGCCAGAACTATAAAAGTAAAATTAAAATTGAATCAGTTAAAACTCCGGTAACTATGATTTCAAATACGTCATGGCATTAACTACTTAAAATAGGCTTTTTCTCAGACCACGTAAGATAAAGCATTACAGTAAAGTATCAGCACAGAACAAGACTATACAGTTTGATGTCTCCTTGGTGTGTTACAGGACCTGCATTCTGCAGGATTATTCCAGTTTGCACTGAACATTTGTAATTTTCTAGAGTGTTCTGTAGAGCAATACATCTTCTGGAATCAGTATTCTGGTCTTCCTTCCAAATGACTGGTAAATCTGATTGTCCCTAGAATTGATCATGTCACAGGAGAACAATATACCTGTAATGAAACTTCAGAACAATCTCAACAGATTGTGATCTGAGTAGTAAATATGAGGGAAGAGACAAGTGGATTCTGAATTTATACCTGTTGAAGAAACCTGCCCCAACTGGAAGGCCTGCCTTAGAATATACAAGTAGGGGATTGAAGTATTGCTTTGTTTTTGTTCAAAACTTTTTCCCCCATATCTGTTAAGAAAGCTAATCATTACTCAAGGCATCTTTTCAAAGGGCTGAACAGAATTCTCCTGGTCTCATTTGTACAGGCTTGAGATGTTGCAACCCAGATCACTGATTAAGAATGCAAGAACTCTTCCACTGGATCCAAGTTCACTAGGGTTACAAGGTAGATAAGACTAGAGAAATGGAAAGATTTTGGTCCAGCTTCTTTGCTCAAGGTACTGTTCCTTATACACTGCATATAAACAGCATATTTTTAGAAAGAGCTTATTGGAAATATTGTTCTGAACAACATAAAAATAGAACTGATAACGTCAGTCAGAGAGGCACTGCTCCTAATGTGTACTGAATGGTTATACTCCAGTTGTGATTAGTGGCTCCTATCAGGAGAATGTTTCTGCACAGAGTCAATGCTAGCAACTCTAATCTGCTCAGGGAATTATACTCTTAAAATAATGTTTTGCTCACAGGTTCATTTCCTTCTGCTAACTTCTGGGTGTGCAGCTTTGATCTGCTAAGTTTTCACATTTCTCACCACAACAGTGATTCCATAGATCTGAATATCTATTTACAAATAAAGAGATGAGATCCTTTGAGATGAGAGATTACTGATTAATATAAGTGACACGTAAATATTTCAACTCCCTCACACATTCTGTTCTGTGTGCTTGTATTTCTGTGTACTGAGCCCAATCGTTTCAATAACTCAGTCCCACTTATGATTCTGCTTAAAAAAATGTGAATGTTAGTGAATATTATAGAGCCATTATAAACAGTTTTGATCACATTTCATCTTGAGGTTTCAAGGAAGAGAACTATTCCAATAAAAAAAGAAGAAAACAAAACAAAACAAAAAAAACAAACAAAAAGCATGTTTAAAGATTACCTTTAGGCATTATGAGGTCAGGATATCTGTAATATCTACATAAATTCATCTTCTTCCATCATGTTTAATTCAATTCTAGGTAGAAAAGAAGATACCTACTTTGCTCTTACACTCTTGTGAAAATGATTTTTATGATTTATTATTGTTTAAATGTATCCTCTCAAAGATTGTGTATCAAAGCCAGATAAAAAAAAAATCTTGAGCTTAATCAAAAACAAACAGGATTTTACTTCAACCCACATATAAAACTGAGTTTTTGGGAGACACTCGCAGAATACTGTCTGTTTGTGCATGCACAAGTGAGGAAAGAATTACTCTGTATAACTTCATGCATAACAGGCAAGATACAGTAATTATCTTTGCCCAAAGAATACATCTTGTTTTGTGCATAACTTTTATCTTTTACATATTCATTAAGCTATTTGTATTAACGTTGTTTTAAAATGAGTCTAGTATAATTTTGCTGATTAAAAAAAAAAAAAAAAAAAAAAGATTACTGGCTCTCATTATTGTCTAAAATCCTTGGCTAATTACTTCTTATTTAGACTAGAAGTGCAATCACTATTGTGATTATTGTGCTAACAGCCAGCACTCTTGCTTCTGCTTTTGGGGATAAATCTATGTTTATGTACTTAGCTATAACTATAATCCAAATGTCCTTGCAAATTATTGTGTAGCCTTGATCCATAGTTAAATGTTTTCAGGAAAAAAAATTATGCTGATGTGGCCTCAAAGTAAACCTGCCAGTCTCTTCAATTCATATGCAGTTTTATAGTCTACATGTAGGCAACTTCCCGTAACAGATTCCAGAGAGGAAAAAGTTAAGAAGTGAAGTTATTACCCAGAAACAATGTATGCTGTATTTTAGTGAAACAGTTACCAGCAGTCGCTAAGTTTAGTTCAGCTCTATTTCATGCCAGCTCCTGTAAGCTCTGCAACAGTTCTACTGCAGGGAAAGCTGCTGAGGGGAATCAACCACTGTCATCTCTGTGGGTCAAAATGAATTTGATTTTAGACTGTGGATTTAGGAAAGGAGATGGACAAAACCTTCTGTTCAGCAGCTCTCACCTGCTATCAGGTTCCTTATGCTCTTTTGGAAAATTAAATAAAATCACACTTGGATAAACAAAGAGGATTTTGAAGGATCAACTACACTGGCCCTTGTCTCCTTCAAATGGCTTAGCCTAATTTTTTCTTTAGATCTGTCTTACGTAAGTTAAAACAGTAAGCGAATAGTAAATTCCATCACTGTTCACAGGTTTCACAGAGTAAATTTGATACAGTATTTTTTCCTTTGTCTCCTTACCTTTTATAAATTGCTGCTTTTTTTGTCATATAGGAATTACCAAAGAATAGTGCAAATTTTCATTCATTGACAAAACAATGAATATTTTTGCAACTTACCTAACTGAAGGGACTTGACTGAGATGAGCACCAAATGCACTAGCTTCCATACTTACATCTTAAACAGGTAATGTCATACAATAACACTTCTGCTCTTGGACATTTGGCTAGGTTCATCAATGCTCTTCCAAAAAAAAATACATGTGGTGTTAAAAACATCACTAATGATTTTTCCCTGTAAAGGAAGAGCCTGATGGTAAGCTCTCAAATATATATTTAGACATGCTGATTGTATTATAGGATTTTTTAAGAAACAGAATAATCAAGTGGGCATTTCAGGATTACTGCCCAGCTGTTTGGAATATTAGATTTGCACACTGATTCAGAATATGAGGATCCTAATAACCTTAGCTATGACTACAACAACCCTATTTTTCTTTGAAGCAGCCCTTTTAAACAGTAGTACCCTGCTCTTCAAAAATAAGCAGGAATGTTTTGGAGCCATGAATAATTTGTCTCGGATATCTGAGAGCAGTGAAACTATTTGTTCAATTGAAAATCAAACAAAAAGCCTGTGAATGGAATTTCAGACTGCCTGATTAATGTAAAACTAAGTGATGTTAATAGGAATGAATGTGCTTGTAACATAGTAGCTGAGGCTAATTCACTCAATCTCTTTCCACTGACAATCTCTTCAGTTTTGGGTACCAGCTCAGGTTTTCAAGCTGAGAACTAAATTTTTCTAAAATTGACATTTTCCTAGTTATCAAGCCTTAACTGTGTTTAAATGTTTGCTTCGTTGTTCAGCTTCTCATGAACTGTCCAGTGTTCCTTCTCCTTTGTCTATCTTTAAAAATACCAGGACTGCTCCAAAAGCAATGCCTCTTTTTTTACTTTTTTTATTCTGTTGACCTAAGTTATCAGAGGCAGGTGCTGGTGATATGGTAGTAGAGACTGAACCTTGCCACCAATATTCTGTTCAATATTGCTTCCATGCAACAGATCACAGCAGAGGGGCAGTGTGACAAAATGGAATCTGACATGGAAGTATGTGTGAAGCAAAGCAGTGTAATTGAATTCCTTCATGCAAATAAAATGGCACCCACTGACACTCATGGATGCTTGCTGTACATTTATGGAAGTTGCACAGTGAATACTGACCCAATGTGGGGTGAGTGATGAGACACTGAAACTGTGGTTCAGCTTTGCTGGTGCAAATTTTTATGAGGATAATATGTAGGCTCTTGTTAATTGCTGGGGAAAACATAGAACTAAGGGTGATGACTGAAAAATAGTGTTTTGTAGCTGAGATTTTGATTTATCAAGCAGTGTTATTGAGCTCTTTGTATCTGTTGTAGTTTCCACGAACATAAGGCATTACTTTTGGGGTGCCCTACATATGTTATAATAAACCAGTCCTTCTCATGTGAAATGAGACATCTCTGAATTGCTGAAAACCACATCTGAGACAAAGGTAAGAAAATATGACTTGATCATGAAGTCACTGCAGATTTAAGTTTTTTCTATCTATAGTGAGTTCTTCAGCTTTGTTTTAATGTTTAAAATTCAGAGTTAAAAGGAATTTAATTAGCATCAATTTTATTCCCTAAAATTAGATAAAATATGGTTTTACTATAATGTGTAAAACAGACTTCAGTCCTAATGTTATTAATAAAATGGTTTGTAATGGATGCAGTGTCACTTGACCCCATAAAGTCAAAATACCTGTATGACAGCTACGAGCTGTAAGAAACCATTGCTTGGAATAAATGGCATCTAAAACCCCTGCAAAGCCTGGACACTAAGTCAGTCTCTGAAAATATGGAAAACAGACTTAGTAGATTTTATATTGTTGGTAATAACATGTAAGTTTTTAATTAATAAAATGAAATCTAGAAACTGGTCATTCTTAGGATCTTATTATCACAGTTACTCACTCCTAAGTGTGGTTAACCTATAGCACACATCCGAAAAACTTGCACAGAAAAGTCATGGCTCCATCTGTGGTAACAGGTCAGGAAGATGTCATAGTAGGCAGTACTCTTTTAATTGAACATGCAAATGCTTTTAGTCACCTTGTGCCTTAAAAACTATGAATAGAAAAACAAAGTTATGTTTCTGAACTATTGCTTGTGGAATAGTTAGTTGAAAGTAACAATAGGATGCATAAAACATAGGTCTTATAGGAAAGCTGGATTGCAATTACCAACTGAGACACACAGACACCTAAAACACCATGGATAAGGGGTTGAGACTGTATATTATCCTTTAGTTGTAGTTCAAGCTGGCAGTGGTGGAGTTACTGAGAAAAGCTAGAGGGCTCTCAAAAGGGGCTTGAGAGGGTTTGGGGCAGGTAGTTGGAGTGGTAGTACAGGTGGTATTCTCCTCTATCCCTTCAGTGGCAGAGAGGAATACTGAGAAAAAAACAGAAAAGCACATCTGATAAATACACGACTGAGGGGCTAGTACCTCTGTAGGAATTCTTTTTCTTTTTGCTGTGGGGTATAGGGCAGTTTACTTAGCATCTGTTCTTATGGTTGTAGATGGGTCCCATCTGTCTCAAAGAGGGAAATAGATTCTTACCCAGGACTTATCAGGACTTTTTGGGAGAGCTTTAAACTAGGTATGAAGGAGAATGGGGATAAAATGAGCCTTGCTTGGATATGAGGCTGGGCCAACAGTGCCAGAGTGAGGCCAAAATCTTGGCTGAAGTGCTTCTACACCAATGCACACAGCCTTCTCAACTCTGCCTTTTTGTTCTGCCAGTTAACTATGGATCATGCAGTAAATGCTCTGTCATTTAGGGAAAACTAGACATTCTACTGACTCACTCTACTCAGTCATTTGATCCATAAGATCCATAAACTGCTGTAAGACCTATGCAAGGGAGGCAGTCCTTCCTAGAACTACTGACTGTCTTGTGTCCTTTAGTTTTCATGGAATTTTAACTGATAGTCTTTGCTCAGGTAGACAGCAACGTGAGCTTCTTGATGAGTGGAAAATTCAGTGGCATTTCACTGGAACCCTCCAACTCCTACTAACTCAGATTGCTTTTTGTGTGAGACATGTCTTGGAAACATATTGTGAAACACATGCCAATGCACTTTGTCTCAGGATGGTCTCAGGTTTCTTTAGATTTGCAATTAATACCATGGTATGGGAGTGTCTGAATACACTCAATTAAAAGTTGCCCATGTAAAGCAAAAAAAAAACAACAAAATCAGACCCTTGTGAAATCACATCCAAACAATAAGTAAGACGTGATGTAAGACTTCTCCTATTTAATATTTTAGGGAGTAATCAGTTTTGAATAAAAACTGATTTTGTGATGGACTGTGAATACAGAAAAATATTCCTGTTGTGTTTATCCAGTAGTGTCAGTGAAAATTTCTATGTAACAATTCCTAGGTAGTGTTTTACACGTATAGAACAAATTGTACACTGTATTCCCAGAAGCCTCAACAGTCCAGCTGTCATCTATCATTTTTTCTTCCATGCAAAACTTCTTGAGAACTAAAGATTCACAAATGGGAAGGGGATTATTCAGTGGAACTCAAATTATCAAATTATACTCAATAGAATACAATAATCAATTAAATCAAGTTTTTCTTGGCAAATGTAGAACTTGGTAACAGTATTAATATATACTTGGTAACAGTATTAATATATACTTTTATGTACTTCAGTGGAAAATTTGACAATAGAAGAAATTGCATTTCTTAAGATTTGTTTCATATATTTGACAGTTTCCAAGTTTTTATTTCCTATTATCAAGGAGGATGAGCTGTGAGAGATGGTTTGCCAGTCCCTCATTCTACCAATGCAGATGTACTGGAGATTCAAAAACAAAGAAAACAACACTTCTAAACTGAAATATAGGAAAACTTGCTTCACGAAGTATTTTTTTCATGATTACAAGTCTTTTTCATACTGAGACTAAAAATGATGAAGCCAGTTGCACAGATGGAGCTAGGCATTTTAAGTCAACCCAAAACTGATGTTGTTTGCAAGAACAAAGTCAAACCCTGTCTCTACTTAATATATCTTTTTTTTTTTTTTTTTTTCTCAAGATCTGAAAGAAATGATTGTTGTACTATTAGAATGTTGCACTGAGTTGGTAGGTGCAAAAAAAGAAAAAAAGAAAAGAAAAAGCAATGAATGTAAGTCTTTCAGACATTAGTGAACTATGGCAACTTCCAATCAAGTGACAGGAGGACTGTAAGCAAACAAGCAAACATACGTTAAAGGATAAAGAACTATTTTCTCTAGTAATAGAAAACAGCATCCTAAAAAGCAAAGAAACAAAACAACAAATCAAGCGAACAAAAAAACCCCAAGAACAGAAAAAGCCAAGCCTTTTGAATAACATAATAACATAGTCATCAAAAAAATCCCTCTAAACCTCTCAAACAGACCCTATTTTAAGAAACAGCAGAACTGGAAAAGAAGTAGATAAGAACTCCTTGAGAGCAGCTCTGCTGAGAAAGACTAAGGAGTCCTGGTAGATGAAAAACATGACCTGACAGCGTGCGCTTGCAGCCTAGAAGGTCAGCAGGCTAGGTTGAACCAAAAGAAAGGTGCTGGTAACCAAGGGGATTTTTCCTCTCTACTTGGCCTTCAAGAGGCCCCATCTGAAATTCTGTGTCTATATCTGGGGTCTCCAACACAGGAGAGATGTGGAGCTTTTAGAAAGGGTCCAGAGGAGGACCATGAAGACTATCAAAGAACTTACCTCTCCTTCAAAGACAGGCTGAGGGAGCTTGGCTTTTTAAGTTTGGAGAAGGGAAGGTTCCTTATAATAAGAAAGACCTTATTACAGCCATATAATATTTAAAGAGATGATAAAAAGTAGATAAATACAATTTTTGCATGTGTACACTACGAGGGACAAGACAGAATGTATTTAAACTAAAGGAGGGGAGATATAAGATGCCAAGGAGGAAGTTTTTCACTGAGAGGGCGCTGAGGTGCTGGAACAGGCTGCCTAGAGAGGTTATGGATACCTTGTCCCTGGA